TTATTTGGGAATAAAACGAAAGAAAGCATCACGCTCGATTGCGCCAATTTCGCTACTCGAGGACTATTACTAATAGTCCTCTAGTAGCGTAACCAATTAGAATGCAGGATTTGCATTAGTCCACTAGTTGGGTGATACTAACGAAGGTTAGTCAACGGAGGCAAACGATCTTAGTCATATCTTGTAGAAGTGGGCCTGTTGCGTAAATAATTCCAAATGTCACCAACGTTTTCAAAATAATTTAACCCTTTAAGAGGCATTTGAAACCGTCGCACAGATTGACGAAGAGCTAAAAAAGACGGAATTCGATGGTGCATTTTGCACAATATTCAAACTTCTAGTTGATAGATTTTCTTCATTTTTTCGCTAAACGTAGAAAATCGGTAGAGAAAATGATCCATCAAAAGAAAAATAGGGGTCACCGAACGTCCAAGATCGTTAAATCCAGGAAAAGCTGTAACAATGGCCATCTGCCCTATCATTTTTTATAATTGTTCACTCTATTACTTAGCCCGCGCGCTTAAATCCATGACGTGACCTTTGAATTTGCGTGCGCAGTAAGTATGCGCAGAAACAATTAGCGCGAACGTCCTTAAGTCTAAATTTTATCTTGAAGGAGACTCTTTGCATTCTAACCAGAGCCAATCGGCTCCATCCCCTCTCTGAACGATTACATTGTTGAGTAAAAGTCTCTTTACTCTCATCAGAGCAACTTGGTTCCATTCCCACTCTTCCAGCTCAGTCATGCAAGGAAATCAAAGCAAATGAAGGAGGACAAGCGGTCAGCGGTAACTCGTGGTTGGATGCCACTGGTTCTGGAGAGGCTATCTTGACTTACTGTGATATGAACACAGAAGGTTTGATAATGTCATTTCATTTTTATGATTGTCAAGTAGTCACTTCACTCGTATGTTATCGAATTTTTGAGTTTATTTTTTTGTAAAAAGCACCTCTTAGTCAACGGGTCTGGGCTATGTTATGAGCGGATGAGTGGATGAGTGGATGAGTGATATATGTATGTATGTCACAACAATCAGATTGGGGCTACTATTAACAACCAATCAAATTGCCGCTTGTAAAGGTGAACCATGTTTGTGAAGATTTCATCCCGAGTTTAGAACGGCCATCTTTGTTTTTCTACAAACAGAACAGGTATTCTTGTATCGATTGGCCTTATTCTGCCATTTACGATGCTGCGTTTACTATGGTTGAGCCACGTCTTTGCAGATGGGTTATAAAAGAGTTCAGGATTCGATATCAGCCGAAGAATCATAATCTATGGCATACGTTAACATGCCATCAAGGCTTTGCTTTTCGCATTACATGAAATTTCGAATGAAATGAGTCTTGGTGATATCTAAGACGGGAACGAGTGTTCAAAATGCACAGTTGGAATGGTAAGGGGGCTTTCGTCCGTGATGGCATTCGCGAGGTTCCCATCGATATTATTTGCATTACGTGCAGTTCACGAAAAAAGAGAAAAGTCCAAATCAAGTCCAAATTTGCGCAATTTTTTTTTATTTTTTGAATTAAGTCTCAATTAAGTTCTGTTCATTGAGTACCACTGTCTTCTAGTTGAAAAGTTCCTTGGAATCAATCCTGAGATACTCATTTGAAGTGGTTTTCTGTGTGAAAACCAAAGAAATGACGGCCGCAAATTAATTAGATTAGACTTTTAGGTGAAACAACGTTCTTCCGTTTTGAAACGGATTCCTTGCGCGGATCAAAGAGGTAAACTTACGTCTTTTATTAAGTGACAAAATTTTTCTCTGTAACTGACCTTTCGTCACTAAAAGGCTCTCAGACGGTGGGAAGGATAATGTGACAAGGAAACTTCTGCAGATTTCATTGCCTCTTACAAAATTTATACAGTTTTTCATGTGTCTGGTTGTTTCAAGTCTCAAGTTAGGTAACACTGTTTACCTTCAATAATGTCTCTCGTTTAAATGGGTCAGTTTTGAAATCGATATTCCTTGGAAGTGGTTTTGTGGAATATCAAAACCGAAAAAAGCTACAATCATTGCCGGCAACAGAATAAGACCATGCTAGAGCGGTTTACAATCGAGTGTCGTAAAACCAAAACCGAAGTAATCATTCTAGTGAATCACAAAGGACACAGACAAACTAGTGAACCAATCAAAGCTCGAAGTAATTACATGTATCGGACTCAAAGTGCTGGAAGACGAACGCTAGCGAGTCACGATTGGTTTTGGTCTTAATTCTGATTGGATGAAGAACTAGCGCGGGTTTGTTTAGCCAATCGTGTGGCGTAGTTGATGCAAAACCAATTAATTTTCGACACTCAAATGAAAACCGCTTTATTGCGTGACGATGTTATAATTAAATTGGTTGTTGTTATACAGAATCAACACCAATCTGCCGTTTGCCGTTAGCTACTATATATTACAGACTGCATGATGTTTAGCTGTCTTGCTGGTAACAGTTCCAAGTAGTTCTAATAACAAAGCCATTGATCGACTATCAAAATCAGACCTTGACAAAAGTAGCCTTGATATCAAATTTCCTAAGGTGCAGCAAATTCTAAATTTGTTTTTTTTTTTCACCAAACAAACTTTTTAGATTAACCTTATCATAACTTTTAAGAGTCTACTGAGTGTTGCTTCCTCCAGGGGCTTTTAATTCACGGAAAAAAGTAACTCTTTTACGCCACTTGCACCGCGCGTTCGCGAGCTTAGAGTACACAATTACCATAGGTACATCTTTGATATTAGCGGGCTCAGGTTTAGATCGCGGGCCCAAGCCAAGTTATTAATCTGGGGGTTAAGGAGGGGTTACGTCCATAGGCAAAAATTCGGTGCGAATTTATCACTTGCGCGTTGTTGAATTTCTTTCGAGATATTCCTTGCACAATCGTCTCTTGGAAAGTCCCTGATATGGTGGATACATAATTTGTACAATCTTGGAAAAAATTGGGTACCCTTGTTGGGTATAGCTTGTTACGTTTTAACTGGGGAAAAATAGTGAAATCACACACTGAACAATTACATGCTCGCAACAAATCATTTGTTGAGTTTCTGATCCAAGGAAAACAATTTTTGTTTTTCTTTATGGTTCACATATTACAATCAGGAGCTCCGCTCTTAGGTTTGGCTAAACCTATATATTATTCATTACACTATAGGGAGACAAATGGTTATTACCTTTTGTTTACATCCCTAGCTTTTTAATTGTTCCAGAGGGGTTTCTATCGGAAAATGTTTCAGTATCTAGAAATCTCTTCTCGAGTGTTCAAAAGTTTTGATACCCTGTTATAACACTGCTGACTACGTTCCAGTTGGCCGGTATTTAGGAGAGACGTCACACATCAATAGTAAAGTAAACTGTGATCATATCAAGATTAAATTATTTCGTTGCTTTAGCTGAGTGACACTTGATGGGTGCCTAATCTTCAGGAGGGTTTCAATTTCTCCTATTTAGGTCCAATGATTATGGAGCTCTAAATAAAGGTTTCTAAGGCCCAAAAGTTTGTTGTCATAAAGAAAGTGTATATTAATTCAGTCAGTTGAAGTCTAAGTTCCATGGATGCAAGTTTCTGTCAAATGTTTCTTTATGTATAGTACAGATACATTAAGCTGTTATTATTTCCATCCAGCGTTTCCAAAGTCATGCAGCCACTTAAAGATACTGAATCCTACGGTAGAAAGTGGAACTTACGTTATTGATCCTGATGATGAAGGAGACGGGCCACCTTATAACGTCACCTGTGACATGACGGACAAGAATGGAGTTGGCGTGACCGTCATAAGTCACGACAGCGAAAACAGAACGCTGGTGGACGGATTTGAAGATCCAGGATCATATTCACGTGACATTCAATACACAAAAGCGAGTCTTTCTCAGCTGGCAAGTCTCACCACAGTCTCTTTGTTCTCTGAGCAGTTTATAAAGTACGAGTGCCATGCCTCATTGATGTTCGAGGAAAATACTGCCTGGTGGGTGTCACGTGATTCTATTGTCATGAACTATTGGGGCGGAGCACCACCGGGCAGTTATAAGTGCGCATGCGGAATTGACAACTCGTGTGCAAAGCCCAACGACCACTGTGAATGTGATGCCAATGATACGGAATGGCGTGAAGACAGCGGTCTCCTCACTGACAAGACACATCTTCCAGTTAAGCAGCTGAGGTTTGGAGATACTGGAGGCGAGGACGAGAAAGGCTACCATACATTGGGGAAGTTCAAGTGCTATGGAATTGCCTGATTCTGAAGAAAATTTGATTGTATGACGTGCCCCATCAGTGCCTTAAACTTTCATTTTTGTTCTTGAAAGAAAACATTACCAAAGATTATCCTATCACATGTTCTTAGACCTGCAAAGTAACATGACAGAAAAAACGGCTTGCTTTAGTTAGTTCCATGACATTTCATTTGTAAGAGTTTGTAGCTGTGATCATGAGAGGGTATCACTCGGAAATATATTTAAAAGTGTAATCAGTTTTTCCACAAGAAAGGATAACGGGTTCTTACGCTGTATTTTGTCTTTACTTCAGGTCATACTGTATTAACTCTGGCAAACCTGAGCAACACATTTTAAAAATCCTTTTCAAAGGGCTAGTAGCTTTCTCAATTTTACTGAAGAACCCGGCTTTCAGTTTATCACGGGCAGTTTTAATGAACAGTAAATATTATTTACGTTTAAATGTGGTGAACTCTACAACATGAGAAAACAAAAAAATGAAACTACGGCACCCTCTCTATGTTTCTTTTGTTTGTTTTCCGTCTTTGATTGTTTGTGGTAATCTTCCTCTTTTTGGTTTACATGCTTGTTTCTATGTGTTTGTCTAACACCATTGACTACAGAGGAAAACCTCACGCACTTCACTCCCAGAGAATTTGAACGATGCATTTAAGCAGTAGAACACACTTTCTATGAGTTAACCGGCGCAATAAATCCACGCAGCTTGTAAATAACGGATCGTTCTATTAATAGATGACTGATTTGCAAGCTTTTCGAGCGGGTCAAGTGGCTTGTTCTAGAACATTCATGAGATGATAAGGTAAACCAATCACAGCGACTGGAAGAATGAATACATTGGTTACTCGGTAAGCTCAGCACTCGAAAGGATTCACTCATCAGAGCGATTAAAACTTTTATCTTTCAAAGCAAAAAGGCCAGAGAAGAAAATGTACAAATGATTCAAAAGGTATGGACAGGGAATTCCAGGAACTCGTCGGCAGAATCAGTCATCACTAAGTACAACGATCGCAGGTTTATAAACTTCACAACTTAGCGACGTGATTCAAACGTTTTGCGACTGGGATGAAAGTTAGTTCCAGAAATTCTGCTTGTTAATTTTTTTCCGAAATTATTTACGTAAGTTTAAAGCTGAGATGCCCATAATGTATAGAAATCTTAGTGGCAGCCGAATCCATTCATTGTCATACATAGGGCTTGGATAAACGTTGAACTATGTTGGTTCCTTCATGAGACTGAAGATAAGCAATCTTCTAGTTTTTGGTCCAATAATTTAAATACCGTAATAATTCAAAAGTTTTCCACATTAATCAGTTTAGTTATTGTTACTGCACCAAAACACATCATTTAACAGAAAATAGGAGCGCACAATAGCTAAGGATAGAAACAATTCAAAGGCATCATCCATACGCGGTGTCTTGCTGTTGATAACAGTAAATCCGTTCAGCATCGAAGTTTAAACAGTGGGCGCTTTCCATTCAAAGAAAAATTGAAAATTGAATCAAAAACATTTTCCGGGATTTCGGGAAAAGACGACAAAGTTCCCGGGGTATACTCAAATTTTCGGATTTTTGTACCAGGCATTTCCGTTCCGTTTGATTTTCCTCCCAGAGTTTTCGTTCAATTTTTCGCTCTCGGAAATTTTTATCAACAATTTTCGGATATTCTGGAAACTTCCAGGAAGTTTCCATACCATTTCTTTCCGTTTCTAAATATTCGAAATTTCGGCTCAATGGAAAGCACCCAACGTTTTGGAAAATCAACCGCTATGGCTCGCATCCCACAGAAACCTCCCATGTGATCATGTTACGTTTTCCTATTCCAACGGAATGCGGGAGTAGGGCTGTCCGTAAAGACGCTCCAAATTGTTAAGAAAATTGTACGCAGATAGTCGCTCAAACGTTGCTTAAAGTTGTTGGACCAGGCTAAAATGAAAATATTAACTACAAGAAGTTGCCAATTACCCAACCATAGAAAGATTTATAGCCATTTTTCACTGTACCATGTCTATTGAGCTTAAGAACTCGCTTAAACAAGTTACGACATTTTCTACAAATATTACTTAAAAACAGTCAATCTTATGACTTAACAATGTATACAGAAAAAAGCTGTTTATCACAAACTACACTCTACGCCCTGTGATCTTTGTAGGGAAATGTCAGCTTTTTCTTGTATCTCCAAAGTTTTGAAATCTTCAGAATCACTCAGGCATGATGAGGCATCGCCACTGTCCGCCATTTCTAATTTAAAACACCTTCCCACCGCTGACCACCTGAACTGATCGCCTTTTTAATAGCCACGGGCAAAACAAATGCTGCACAACATACAACTACTGACTTAGGATTCTGTTAACAAACCAAAAAAGCGAACTAACCAACATTTAGTCCTTAATATGCCCGTTTGCTTGTTTTGGATTTGTGGTATTGTCTTAGAAATGAAGAAGTTGCACGAAAGAAAAACAAGTTTTTCTATTTCTAGGTTCTATCCTTCTTCGACTGGCTACCATTTAGGTTCTTGTGCTGAAGTTTACTATCTACCCTGGAAAAATTAAGTCTGCTGATTGAACGCAGCAATCAGAATACGTTTTCAGCGGTGTTCTAGTATGTCTTTCTTGTAGTTTAACTTACCTAAACTATCAATTTCTTATTTTCTTACGCAAGTTGTTTCCAAGGAAAATCGTTCCAAACTAGATCAGCAAAAGACACAAGAACTTAGCTATCTGTTATTGGCCTCTATTACAATGATTACGATAATTTAACTTACACTTGCACTGATATGAACTACCGTCTCTACTCGTAAATGAAGAAATATGAATTTCTTTCCTTCTTACTAGTAAATGCGCTGTGACGCTATTAAAATAATTTTTTAAATGAAACGAGCTATCTTCAAGTGGTAAGGAACTTCAAAACAATGGTTGAAGATTTCGCTTCACGAAGTAGTCCCTCTAAAACAAACTTCGACTAAAACTACAACTACCAACTGATGTACAAGTGTTCATCAGATTCCGGTTGTTTCTCTTCAAGTAATGCTGAAGTCATTTACCAAATCTCAGGAGAAATCTGGCGTTCATGAACATTTGTGTGCGACTCTTGTTTTGCGTCTCCGATGTGGCAGTACCTGTAGGACCATTGATAAAGTGTCGATTAAAGCTAAGGTCAGAAACAACTTTGGAAGTGATGAGAAAAAAGGAACAAGGGTCGATGAACCACCAAACCAAAAAATTCTCCCGAGATATCTCCCGGGTAGGCAGAGGTAATCCTCACCTTACCACAAGTTGGCCTCCTGTTTCCCCTTAGCTGTGAAGTAACTAAAAGAAACCCTAGCCCAGAAAGACACTTAAGACTAAACCCCAGATGACAAAAACTTACAAGAAAAACGGCGAGAATTGACACACACCTCAAGTAAGTCGGCCTCTCACTCGATCTACAATCTTCGTGGCTATAGTCAGCGCTTCTTGAGCCATCTGGGCCGTGTACACATCATGAGGGATCTGAGGGTAGCACATACTGTCCGGATAGCGCATACGTGTTGAGTCACCCACAAGACGTTCCAGTTGCTTAGCCAAGTCTATTAACTCAGGGTCACTCAAACCTAAGCAATTCTCGACCAGGTTGTGAACGTTAATCTTGCTGGCGTCTGCCTGATACTGGGCGGCTTTCAAGGCCTTCTCCGCCGCCTATGAAATTAAATTAAATAAATTATAAATTATAGAGAAAGATATTTTAAACGGCACGAGACCTTTATACACGCCTTAATCACAAATAACTATCACAGCACAGAGACTTTCACCCGCTGGCTGTTTAAAATTAAACATTACCTCATGAATATAAGCCAGAAGTGTGCTTTTTAAGCTGAGAAAACAATGTTACCTGGTGGCATTTAAAACATCCCCACTCATAAGAAGGCCTGCTAAAAGCAATTTCATCTGCACCAGCCACAAGGTCGGCTTCAGCTTGTCTAAACCAGCGCCTGGCCTCTCCTGGTTGCGAATTCCCCTTGCAGAAACTTGGAGGAACACTCTGCCATGACCTTGAACTCGATGAACATTCCCAAGATCCATACTCCCGTGAGAAGTGCTCCCTGTATTCTTTCCGCCGCGAACCATGTTCTCTAGCACGCGCACCCCAGGAAACAAAATAGTTGTCGTAAGAACTCCCCAGTCTAGAAATCTCACTTTGTATGTGCTGAAATACCTCTGTGCAAAATCGTTCATTGCCTAAATTCTTGTCTGGATGCCACTGGAGGTAAAGCCTTTTTACTATTTGCCTTCTTTTTAACTCTTCTTGCCTCCATGCATCTTCCAACAGGTAAGAGATCTTATTGAAGACCACTTGTCTGTTTTCGTTTCCTGAGCGTGGAGTGTGCTGATCAGATATCTCTTTCACTCGATGAAATTTGTACAGGTCGGCAGCAACCACAACTGCTTCTTTGTTGTGTCCAATGTTGATTCTGTACATCTTCGTAGGCAATTGCACGGAATCTTTATTCATTACCTCTTCGATGATCACAGCGTAGATGTACGTTGCAACTCCTTCGTTCAGGTGCAGACTTGGGTCATCCAGCTCGTAGCCCACATATTCTTGAGGTTCAAATTCCTCAAAGGCGTCATTGAGCAAATGATGGTCCTCAATTGGAATAAAGGTACCTGGCTCTGGATAGATATCCATTTCTGCTGCATTGTACGTATCATCTTGTCGAATATGCATTGTATCCAACAGGGACCAAATCTCATTGAGAGGACAACGCAACATCTCAGGAATTAGCACCACCCTCTTCCCGAGAAGTCCTCCGTACATTTCTGCAATCACATTGGACACTAAAGTTATGGCCGAAAAGGGCTTGTCCACTTCTTTTACGGCGTTGACATACATTTTGCATATCTTCTTGCCAGACACTAACAGCCTCTCCTGGAAGAATGGCACTTCTACTTCACTTCCTGGAATGAGTACACCTTTGTAAACAAGAGACGTTTTGAGATTTTTCACAGCACAGATCTCGATGCCACGAAGATCACTTTCCATATTTGCGATCACTTCTTCATTGAAATCTTCGTTCTCGGAGTTAACGTCTTGAATTAGTCTCGCAATCCCACGACCAAACTGCGCAGAAGAAAGCTGCTGTCTCAAAGCGTTGACAGTTCCGCTCGTCACTATCTCAGTACTTTCTGGAATAATGAGTCGTTCTTTCACCACAGAGGAAAGCATTTTTGGCTGTAGGCCTGGAGGCAATCTCATCATTAGCTCTTTATAGTTGATCATAGCTGATTTACAACTGATGTCCATCATACTGAGGCCCAGAACCAAAGGTTGGGCAAGTCGCTGAATCCGATTCACATAGGCAAGTGCGTCAACGAATATCAGATCTTTAGATTTCTGTAATCCGACAGGGACTGTGGCTAGTGGCCTATCTAGGCAGCCGCCGTATCCTGAACTCACCGCTGGTAGATACAATTTGGAGAGAACGGCCAGTTCTTCTACCTGCTCCTGTATCCGTTCAAAAAATCCTTTCACCGCTTTGCAGCACAGACTAACCTCGTTTGGGTGCAGTTTGGCATTCTGGCAATTCTTCTGTAACATCTCCAAAACCATTGCATAATGAGTGGGTCTTACAGACTTGGTGCAGCCTAGGCATTCAAACAATGGTTGAAACTTGCCAAATTCTGGAGGCACTCTGTAGAGATATGGTTTGATCTCAAGATCTTCATAAAGCTCGAGGACCGCTTGACTCGGGAAAACGAATTTCTTGCCCCCTTCCACCAAAATACAGCGTGTTGTTTGAAGCCGGTTCTTCGCTACACCATTCTCGATTGCGTTTCTCTGAAGAAATGTGTAAATACGTTTCATGACTCCGCTTATTGTTTGGCATCGCTCAGATGAAATTCTCTCTCCCTTGCTGTTCCCTTGAAGATAGTGACAGATGGTTATGCAGTGACCAACAACAAGATGTACTGATGGCTTCGTCACAATTCCAAGTTGATCGACAAACAACTTGCAGTAATTGTTTATGCGGGTATCGTCATGACAACCGAGCTTGTCCCGATGACATGTAGGATCCGCCCATTTTGGAAGCAAAAATACCTTTGTCCAAGTAACATCCTCGTAAGCGGCACAAACTGCTCCTTTATAGGAAATGAAGGGAGCTTCACTATCCTTCCTGTTAGCAAATGGAGGAAAGATTTCTAGCAGCTGTGGGCGCAGGGGATGTCCAGCCACAAAGGGAATGTCGCAGACAACCCGTAGGAGACCCTCATCCACCACATTCTGTCGAGAGAGAAGATGCTTGACAAGAACTTTAGACTTTTCCTCTGTAATCTCAGTTCGCGCTGTAGCAGCTTCATGAGCAACTTGGGTGGCAAATCTGAGGAAAAGGTCTGGAGACACCTGGTGAACCAGGCCTATTTCTCTCAAAAACGGCAGCCATTCTTCTGAGGTGAACGATTTTGGTGGAAATTTGTCTTCTGATAACAGCAATTTGAAAACCTCATCGTGAGGGTCATAGAAACTGGACGCTGACATAATGCTGCCGTCATTTGTAGGAATGAATTCAACCCTCTTCAAGTTGTCCAACAGCCTTTCTTTATCCACGTCTGTCTTCTTCTCCTCTCCACTCGTTCGAAAAACCAGTTGACGGATATATGTAAGGTGAACCAACCTTCCCTCTTGACTAAAATGCTGAAAACACTTCAAGATAAACTTGAGATACGCTTCCACGGGAAAGACACGTTCAACTTTCAAGAATTCATATAGGCCTGACAGGTTTGGATGAGACTTTAAGAACAAACAGCCAAGTCTGGATTCAACAATATCGAGCTCATTCATTGGGATTTCACTGGGCAGAATATATCCTTTCCTTCCCTTGAGTCGTACAATGGCACCACTGGCTGTTGGGTAAAACGGCATGTTACGTAAAGGTTCTTTGTCGACATCGGCGAGGCTTGGCCGGTTGTCACTGAAGTACTCTAGGACTTTAAGGAACTCTATGGACTGTGATGCATCTTCAAGGAAGCGAAGATTCTTTGGCAGCTTCTGTTCAAGTGCGGTGAGGAGCGACGCTGGCGATTTTAGAGAGGCTACAAGATTACGTGCAAAATTAACCGAATCCTTTCGGGTGACGGATGTTGTTCCAGAGTTTTCCTTGGTTATTACCTCAGAATTAAGCTCCGGCAAGCCCAAACGTCTCAAAACATCAACCAACTTTCGATTTGATATACCGTATTCGGCAAAATCAAGAACACAGTCTGCTTTACCTAAGGGCACCAAGACATCTTCTGACACTGTTTGCATGTTTTCCAGATTAGCCGAACAAGGGATTTCTCTACCTTCCATTTGGGTTCTTTTAGTTGCTGGCAGAATGCACCATTTAGACAGTGATGAGAGAGGTGAACAGATGATTGCTTTGGGCTCTGCACTTTCATCCGACTTGCTTACAGCAGCTTTACCATTCTCTTGTAAAAAGCTCCAAACCTTGCATATCCAATCTCGATTTGGTAAGTTTCCCTCTGGGTTATCTGGCCACCATTCCACGTACTGATCTTCAGTAAGATAATCTTGAGGCAGGGATTCATGAAGGTACGATGCAAAAATTTCTATGTCGAAGGGACGGAAAACAGGCACCCTTGCATATTTCGCATCCTTAAAAACTTTCTTACGAACTTCATCGTGGACAAAAATGGACGGAGAATTTGGCAAAATATCTGTATAGCAACTCAAACATTGTGGCTCAGTTGTGCTAAATGTGTGCAAATAGTTGTCTTGAGTTAGAAGTAATGGCATTCCCTCTAGATTCTTCTCAAATTTCTCAGCGTCTTTGCAGTACTTAAGGACACAAATCACTCCTTCGGCATTCTTAAATGGCGTCTTGTCAACAGGGCATGGAATCGTTTTGATTTTGCAAAGTGAATCGGGACTACTGAAAGTCTTGAAGAAAGCCATAACAGCAGAAGGCGAAATGGAGTCAACACTCACCCCAGCTTCTCTCAATGAGTCGAAGACGCTCTCTGAAAAGGCCACAAGGTTCAAGCCAGTTTCGAGAAGAATTTTTTCAAGCCTTGACTCCTGCTTAATCTTGGGTACACTTTTCTTCATTGTCTTGTTCTCCTCATTACTGTCTCTTTCACTTCGCTGGGGTGATGCAGCAAAACAACCTTTTCTTTCGAAATCGTTGAAGTATGTTTTATCCTTTCCAGCCCCATTCGGAGGAAACCATGTAACTTTAAGATCGACCTCCTGATTAGCTGCAGAACTTTCTTCTAACATTTTCACTGACGGAATCAGCCTCATCTCTTTGCTGCACATTTCATTGTAGACCGCTTTTACCAGTGTCTCACAATGTGGATCTTGAGCGGAAAACCTTGGGAAATACTCTTCATAGGTACCTAATCTTTTCAAGATGGTACCTTCGCCGCAATTAAGACTATGATGTGTAGTATAATCCTTCATGACTGGCAATTCAAGAAAGCCACGCACTTCGTCCAGAAGTGTGAGATAACATGACGGAATAACATCACGCAACAACGCGTTATTCCAGTCACTCCGATAGCCACCATCTTCATCTCTCCATAGATGTCGTCTTGCCTCGTGGTCCAATGCAAAGTGCCCATTGATGTGAACTGGCAAATCTGTTTCAAATGGAAGTGGGAGAAAGCAGTATGCTTTCCTCTTAATTTTCACTTGCTCACTTGGTTTGTTACTCTGTAGAAGGCAGGCAACACCTCCACGAGGTAGCATGCATAACTGGTGCTCCTTGAATGCATCAACAATACTCTGTTCCAAGGACTTCTCAAAGCCAACCTGTTGGACAATAAACCATTTTTCCTCCTTTCCACAGTTGTCTCTTATTCTCGTGACATAACTACACTTCGCGACATCTAAGCTTGTGGGAAGAAAGTTGTCTTCTTTAACTTGACTTCCACACTCTTTGATATAATCAGCAAATGCTTGCCTTTTCTCGTCATCAGTTTGGGACATTAGCATTTCCACAGAGTAACCGTTTATCATGTTTCCACTTGATTCATCGATCGTGCAAAGAGTTATTTTCTTCACGTTGTTTAGGAAGAGGAGAACCTCAAACAATTCCTTCTTCAGGTTTCCCATCATCACGTCTAACTTCTTCGCCGTTACTGGGACTGATGATATTTTGGATTCTTCAGCCATTTGTTCCGACCTTAGGGGGAACCTGAACATGGTTGCATTTTCTATGGAGAAATGATCCTCTAGATAACAAGGGAAGACATCTGGAAACTTTCTTTTCAGCATCTCGATGTCTTTGAACATTCTTCCTGGTTCTTTATCACTTGCATTTGGGACATACTTGCAATGCGGGTCAAACACGCACAAAACATTCCCAATTTCTTCACCACTCGACCTAAAGGATGGTACATCTGTTACATGGTAGACAGCATTAAACCCGACGCCATACTGGCCAGTGGTGTTGCTATCGTCTCCCTTACTACCCTCGCCAAGATTCTGTACACCTTTGATATCTGCAGATGTAAATGGGCTGTTGTTGAACACGCACAATGCAGGCCCCTGTAGGGGCTTCCAACTATCCTCGAACAATCTTTCATCAGCATGGTGACGTGGGTCATTAATGAAACAGATTTCAGTTGCTTGCGCATCATCTGCATTTTGAATAAGCTCTTTTAAAAGCTCTTTCCCGCATGGGTACCCTGTCAGAATCCGTTTAAGACGATTTGTCAGTTTCTCTCTTTGTCCAAAGGGAATCCCGACTTCATGGTGTTGCAAGGCTTCTTGTCTTCGCGTTTTAACGCCTAACTGGTAACACGTTGTCCAAGAAATTCTCTCATTGACAAAATGCACACCACTAACATCCGGCATCCATGGGCAGTCCTTCATACAAAGCTCAGTTAGTGGTCGCATTATGTCTCTAGAATCAGGAAGAAAAACAGTTCCCTGGTGACTTGAAGGACCACCCCTCGATTGCCCTAACGTCTCTCCAAGTTGAAGTGCCAGATTAACGGATACCTCTAGGCTTGGCTGATCAAGTGGCATTTCCTGAAATCGTTTCTTTACTTGTTGAAGACTCAAAATGTAATCTCTCTCTTCAAACTGCTCTCTAACACCGGCGAGATTCATCAATTTCCAGTAGGCATCAGCTAAATGGTCTGGAAGCTTATAAAGATATGGTGAGCAGTCTGTCTTCAGTTCCAACGCCACGCGGTCTGCAGAGAGAAACTTCCTCCCTATAAGAATGAATCTTCTGCCACGTACGACGTCTTTAACGCGAGGGCCACAGGTGGTCATCGCGTTCTGAAGAAAGGAATACGCCTGTGTGCAAATTTGTTTCACCTCATCAAAATCTGCACAGCTCAGGGAATCAATGTTCGTAGACATTGCGTCTTCAAGTTGGTTCATCACATGTCGTACAGTGGCATCCTTGTCTCCTAACTTGAACAATTCTTTCACTTCTTTGGACATATCTAGGCCAACAAGCGGCTCAGTGCAGCATACTACGTACTTCTTTTCCTTCAAAAAGACATCTTTAGGGGAGACCAGGAACTTCTCTCTATTTTGAAATTCATCACCTTTCCAGGTAAGAGGAAAGCCCTTCGGTTTCTGGAAAACAGGAAGAAATTTAGCCTCCCGAAGGCGTTCACAAATGGAACTTGAGAGACCTTTACCGTTGCTCTTCAGTGTTGCCTCTATAAATGGAAGTAAGGCTTCCACACGCCTGACTGCTGCATTACGGTCAATTACATTCAGTCTGCCAACGCTCTCAGCTCTTTCTACAATCTCTTCCCAAGAAAGACAATCAGATACCATTCCTAGCTGTTCTAGTTTGGCGAGTCGTTGAGGATTGCAAAAGGTATCCTTAGTGCCAAAAGGGAACCTTCCATCAGCAGCACAAAAGAGAGAGGCTGCTCCCCGGTTTGGGTTTACAAGTTGGCCTGGATTTTTCAGAGTCTCTCCTTGTGGTGACGATGGAATGCAGGCATGCATCGTTATCAGCTCATCAAACTCTTCACTGCTGTTATCCAAAACATGTAGCATCAGTACATCTCTCAAGTCTGGACTAACTTTCAAAATGTTTGGAAAGAAACGCTCACGGAAAAATCGACCCTTGTTATACATTCTGGTCTTGATCACATCCCCCAGACCACAAGCAATAAAAGACTGTAACACATCAACTGGAAGGTCGATGACCACTTCGTTTTCTACTGCCAATCTACAGAAAACAGCCAATGAGGTATGTCCAACTTGAGGCTCCACGCGGAACTCTGGATCAAGAAAAACTACTTGATGAATGTGAGCCCACTTGTGTCCATCTGAGAAAAGAGCATAATCTCCACTGGCTAGTTGTGTATAAAATGACTTCATGATAGGCCAGCATTCGCGGTGTACCTCATCAGCCTTTGGCCATAATGAATGGAACTTGTATGAAGCGTCATCAGGAGCTATGCACTTCAAATCCTCAAGAAGACAGAGAAATGCAGACAAAATGGTGTCTTGCATAATCACATTATTCCAGTCTTCTCCGTGGGAGTTTTTGTCATCTGCAAGTTTTTCCTGCAAATGGCGCCTGTTAGCAGTTACTGCAAAAGCTCCATTTATGTGCAAAGGTAGCCCACTATAGATCGGAAGCGGAAGGTAGCAGAAGATCATGCCACCTTCATTAGATTCATCTCCTTTTCCCATAGCAGGTAACGGCAAACAATGGTTACATCCACTTGGTACTAACTGAACAGCCACTCCTCCCGAGGGAATGCAAGTATGATCATTCCTCGCAAACTGCATTGCCTGCCCATTTCCCATCGAAGACGTGACAAGCCATGTGACATGCTTTTTCCCAAAACACTCATCTGAATTGAAGAACTTCAGACCCACCCCAGTAAAACAACAATCAATGTCTACTCTGAATGAAGATTTGAGAAATTTACTCGGGTTGTCTTCTGGAACTGTACTTCGATCCCTTAAGTCTCGTGCCACCTTCGACGATGCTTGAAGAAAGTTAAATTCCTTCAGAGAACTCTGAAGTCTTGCATCCAATTTCTCTGCAGTGACAGGTAACGTGACGGGAAACGACAATCCTCGTAATATTCCTCCATGTGGAATTGATTTGGAGACTTCAAACATTAATGATGGCTGTGGATCTTGACTCGACAATCTCGGCAGACTGTAGATTCCAACACGCAAAACATTCTGTGTGAAAAGAAGCAAATAATGCGCCTTGCGTAGGAGCATTTGCAAAAGGGTATGCATCTCCTGCTTGTCATAACAAAGTTTCTTAATCTCACTTTCTATAGCTTGCTCTTTCGTTCTCAATGGAAATCGAAAAAGCGTTCCCTCAAATGAGTTGTCCTTCTTGTTTAGATGCAAATCGCACCCAAAGATACCATTGAACGGTTTGAACTGGTTGGCAAATTTACGAAGGTTCTTGACATCTTTGTTGAGGTTGATCTTAATTCCTGGCTTCCCGAGGCATGATGCCTTCCCAAGGTATGATGTGTGAGGATCCAAGATCACAAAGTAGTTCTTACTTAACAGCATGGGTACATCAGTTAGATTGTACACTGCATTAAAGCCAAGTCCAAATCTGCCAATCTTTTCAGTTTCGTCCACTTTGGTTGCCTCGTTCAGCTTTGTAATATTCTTAAAGTCTTGATCCTTAAATTCAGCATCATTGTAGACCCACAGTGCAGGACCTTGACATCCCCTCATGCCCTCGTTGATCAAACAGGTCAAAGCATCCTCGTTGGTTCTTTCATCATACAGGAATCTAACTTCAGTGGCACCGGCATCATCTGCATTTTGAATCAGCTCCTTGAGTACAGCAAACCCATCAGTGTATCCCTCCAGAAGTTTGTTAAGTCGAGTAGTGAGTTTTTCGTCTTGTCCAAAATCTTCTCCTATGGACAGTTCATCGGGATCCAGCATTCGATTAGTTAGGGTTGGAACACCCAGGCATTCAGCAATACTGTTGGGAACAATAGGGTGGACATAAAAACAGTCCACATCTTCATCATCTCCTTCCTTCTTTAGCCATGCACGCTCACAATACACACAGTGTTGAACCTGTTCGAGCCTAACACGGGAGTTGTCATCAACATGTATGGGAAGAAGAATCTTCGCTTGAAGTTCAGCAGGCAACTGCTTATTCGCCACCTCATTCAGGATGTTGACAGTTAACTGGAGGTCACGTTTTACCTCCAAAGAACTGAACTGGACAATGCTGTTGTCGTACGTCTCTTTGATCATGGCAAGGACTTGCACAAGAACAGCTGGATCACTTTGCTCCCTCATACCAAAACGGTAAAACAGATCTGAATGCTTCATCATCTCCGAGGGAAGTGAATGCATGTAGGGTGCAAGATCAATAGATGGCTTACCGGAAAGCACCTGGTTAGGCGATGCAAAGCCATCTCCACTCCAAACCCATTCATTTAGCTCAACCAAGGCAAATGCTCGCTCCACAGCAGAAGACTCTACGTGGGTCAGAAACGAGTAGATATAGTCTACCATCACCATGTAAAACGGTTTTTCTTCTTTGGAGTACCATCTGGTTACCGTTTGCAAATGCTGCACAACATCAACGATATCCGGTTGGTTTTGCCATCCAAAATACTGGGAAACTTCAATTGATGGCCCGACCTCGACAACAGGCATAACTGATCCAATCAGATTAACTAGGTGATAGCTTTTGACTTCATCTGGCTTGAAAAAGTAGTTGTTTTCTTTGTCTCCCTTTTGCCACCATGGACCTGATGGAGGGTAGCCAGGGGGCATCTGCTGTAATCTTGACACCCAATTAATGTCTTTTAGTAGCTGTCCCAGTGGCTGTCCATTGATGGGTTCGTGCAGTTTCTGGGGATTTTCGTCAAGATACTGTAAAATTGCTTTAGATTTCTGCAATGCAGTTGCAAGTAGTGGAAGCAAGGAAACCAGCTTAGCACTTTGGTACAGATCGCTTCCAGTGATATTGTGAACACCTTTCATTCCAAGTTCTTTCAACAGGACGAGTACAGCAGGGTTGGTGTAGAGTTCACCGGCAGGGAATACATCTTCGCTCACAAATATTTTCTTCAGAATATCACTCCTGGGATCAAAGAGGTTTGACGGCATAGCACGCCCTCTGAGTTTGGAGACAAATGATAAGGATTGCAAATTCTGCTTGAAAGTAGCATTTCCATAAATGATATTTGCATGGCGCTCTAGCACATACGCCATCAGCTTGTCAGTCTGCTCTCCTGAATATTTTCCCAATTTCATGTCTGGAAATACCACTTGGCATAGCAGATCAGTGGGTTTAAGGACTCTGACCTCTAAGAAATGTGCCAAAGTCTTGGAATCATTCTGAGAAATGTCAATAAGTTCACGTTGTAGAGAGATTGGAAGATGTTCATCAGGCGCTGCACATAGACCTTCCTCTGTGGAAACGAACTTCTTTGACAACGTCTCAAAGACTGGAAGGGAACGTAAAAGAAGGAACTCCTCAGTCCCCCGAGACAGTTGTCGGACATTGGCAAGAAAAGATCTCAAAAGTTGCTTCCCTTTTGGTGACACTTCACTTCGAACAATTTCAATGAACTTCCCAACAGCCATGTTGGAAGAGGAAACCACCATTGCTTGCAAAACACCTTGTACGGAGGGTGGATTCAGAAACGAGCCCAGCAAAGCGGGATGTTGGCTGATAAAAGTGGGATATTCACTCATGACAATCAATCCAAGCTTCTTTAAGACATCTGTCAATGCGTCATCAAGGCAATCATCATGAAAACATTTGATAACTACTCTGGAGGGATGGCAAAGTCGCGTCAAAGATACAGATGTTTGAGACATACTGAGTGGAATCAAGGGTAGTTTTCCAAGGCTCTGAATGCTTTCTGTCGTAGCAAAGTGTTCCTGCAGATATTTCCACAAGTCCTTTATCCACTCTCTTGGAGGATGCTCACGGTTACTGTCATCAGGATACCACAAAACAGTCTCGCCTGTTTTCCAGTCAGCAGGTAGTCCATACCAAAGAAACGCAGCTGCGACGTCTTCATTAAGGAATCGTAACCGAGTGCATCCTAAAGAAGTAACAAATAAGAAAATAAATATTGATCAAAAACTCTGTGAAACCTATAACTGGTGTTTCTAGTAGCCAAAGCTAAGCCCTTCCGCAATTTGCTGTAACAGAGGACTAAGGTTTGAAACTCCTGCTTGACCAATTCGACATAGTGGTTAACTTACCTTTCTCAAGTTAATAAGCGACTGCTTGTTTCACTTTCCCACCAACAAAGTACAATTATATTTTCTTAGGAAATTATTGCTTTTGTTAAGTTAGTATATATATCTTCAAAAGCCAAATTAAAATTATACAAAACTAATTTGGCTGGCAAAGGTGACATTCAAAAGCTATTACATTGGCCCCAGAGTACTGATAAATATTGCAGCATCAGAACAGTGACAGTGAAACGCATCAACTATTGCTTATAATGCATGTATTTACAAAACGTGATATCCTAAAACTCAACCATCACTACCTCAAGCAGTCATTAATGATTGATGTGAACAGAAACATGTTGAAATCTCATTGGGCTGGGACTCACAGAAAAGGCACCGTAACTTCGTGAAAGGGGTTTCTCAGCGATATTGTAGCACAATAATGCCCTAACAATGAGATGTATTTCGCCCAGAATTGGTGTAATCTAGAGCCAACTAAGGGATAACACTCTGAGTCGTAAGCCAATGACACCCAAGTGATATTTCAAATTCGAGTAAAACCTTACATGGGATTCACAAGTCAGGCAATTAGATTTGCTACAGGACATACCTTGTAAAGCTGCAGCTTCAAGGTTTTGAAGAATGTCTGCGTCAATATGTTTATCCAAAAGTCGATGACCAATGCCAGGGAAGAGTGCTCGTGGATGTTTCGGCGAGTCAATGTAAATCGTATTGGCACGATTTCCAAATTTTGCAAATGTCCCATTGGCAAGTGGAAGAAGCTGCAAGCCATAAAGGTCTGCGAATTGGCGATCACTAAGACAACATCGAAGAAGTAGCAGCTTCTCTTCCCTGTGTAGACTTGAATAGCACGAGGGCACTTGCCTAAGTACAAGTCTAACCATATAAGGAGTGAGTTCTGCTATATCAGGCCCATAGGCCTCAATGGCACTGAGCACGTGACTGGGTACGGTGACAATTGGCACATCAGCTGAAAGCAGGACTCTCATAAGCAGCTCTTTCTGTTCATCTTCTGGCAATCGATGAAAGATCACATCCTTCACTGTTAGCCACTTTCCACTTTGTGCTTGGGTGTGAACAACTTTCTCAGTCATGAGCAGTTGAAATAAAGGTTTCTCAAGCTCCTTCCACTTTTGGTCTATATGGCTTATATCTGGCCATGCTCTGACAATAAAGAGAAAAATACCACTTAAGTCATTGCTTACTGTATGAAACTATAAATGCTGACTGACATATTTAGCTTGAATTGATTTAAGTGTTTTAATACGCATTTTTATAGATTATTACATATATATAGTTATAGTTTTTAGATATTTGTATTTTCATTTTTTGATTATTTGAGGGCCACGAGTTTATTAGCTTTTAGCTGTTTAGTGTTACCCTCGCTAAATAAAGTGTTTACTTACTTACTTAATAATAGGCAAATTTAAACACTTATTTAAGTTACCCAACAGAAACTATTCCAAAAGGCACCACAATTAAAAATATTTGTCGCTGTGCAGTGACGGTTAGTCTAAGAGGTTTTAACCATTTTTGGACATGAGGTGAAGAACAGAGACACTTACTTGTAGATGGCTGCTAGAGGTGCATCAAAGCATCTAGTGTTAATGGCGTCTATAAGCATCTTGGCATACGCTCTGGGTATGGCCTCCCCCAGGAGACAATTGTTCCACATTAAGGCCTTGTCACTCACCGCACGACCAGCGCTCTCCTCGTCTACCTGATGTGCATTTGGCAACTTAATGTGACGTCTGTTCTGACTCAAAGCAAAGAAGCCATTAATATGCACTGGCAAACCTGTCAAGGTTGTCTTTTGTACTGGCAATGGTAGGAAGCAAAATACGTGGCCATGGATTTCAGGTGTGGGCTGCTTTAGACCAGTGGGCAGTGCCATGGCTACCCCTACTGTAGGCAGATAGTTAAGTTCCTTGTCTGTCATTAACTTTCTGAACTTTGAAGAAACGTCTCCTCCACAATAGTAGTTTGTAACAAGGAAGGAATGTTGCTCGACTTCTTCGGCAACGTGCGAGTTGACGTTTATGATCTCTATGGTGATCGGGTAGGTCACCGTGACAGATTCTGAATTCAGTTTTACCGAGGTAATCTTCTCACGAAACTCTTTCCTCTTATTCCGAACTGTCAAAAGGCTTTTGTCACCAACCTTCACTTGAAAGATTTTTCTAGGTGTAGACTCCGATTCTTCTCTGACGTAAAGCTCAATGCATTCTACATGGGTGAGAAACAAAAGCATCAAGTGGGGGTCGGCCTTAAAACTCTTAAACAGTGTGTCCATCTTCTCAGCAAAGTACAGGGTCTGTGACAGCTCAGAAGGGTCGGTGCGCAGTGGAAAACGGAACAGTGTCCCACTGTAACATCCCTGCGAGAACACATCATCTGTACAGTCAAATACTCCTTTGTAAGGAAGGAACTGATCTTGAATGTCTTCCATGGCTGTACGGTCTTCCTTCAGGTTCCAGTATTTCCCTGTTCTTTTATGTCGTTGGTCAGAAAAGTACACTCCGTGAGGGTCAATAATTCCGATCTGTGAATCGCTGAGAATACTTGGCAAATCTGAAAGAAAACGCCCAAACACTGAAGAAACAAAATAATATAAACACACAGTTCAAACCTAGTTAAATTTTAGGCAACTCCCATTTGCACGATTTGTATCCCTGTTAGCATCTAATAAAGTATTTAAGTATTGAACTTAAAACTCTGAGATTCCAATTGTTACTTTTACAGTTCGGTTTAAAGCCCTGGTCAAATGGCACACGATAGTTGATGATAGTTGATTCTCTCGAAACTATCATCAACTATCACCAACTATCATTCACATGGTCAAACAGCCAAAGAAGTTCGTGATATCATACTTGATGATAGTTCACCGGCAGTCACGCGAGCAAAGACACACGAGCAGCTAGTTCCAGACTCTTTCCACGTAAAAATGTGAACACTAAAATGGCGTCAAGCGAGACAAACTTGTAAAAGTATGAATTTTTCACGACGAAAAAGGGTGGCAGCTTGTTTACTGGTAATCGATTTGTTGGAGGAATGTATGGACGATGAATCTGGAGAGCGTTGGTGGAGGAGAGAACGGACAAGGGAATGGATCAAAAGGAGAAACGAAAGCGGGATGTTGAAATTGGTAAAAGAATTGCGAATGGAGGACAGTGCCGCTTACAAGGATATGTTGCGCATGAACTGTGAAACATTTAAGGAAATATTGACCGCTATCAGACCTGTGATTACCAAAACAACTGACCGAAAAACTATCATGAACTATCATACGCGTGGTCAAACGAGAAAAACTATCAGCGACTATCATGANTGCCTCGTTCAGCTTTGTAATATTCTTAAAGTCTTGATCCTTAAATTCAGCATCATTGTAGACCCACAGTGCAGGACCTTGACATCCCCTCATGCCCTCGTTGATCAAACAGGTCAAAGCATCCTCGTTGGTTCTTTCATCATACAGGAATCTAACTTCAGTGGCACCGGCATCATCTGCATTTTGAATCAGCTCCTTGAGTACAGCAAACCCATCAGTGTATCCCTCCAGAAGTTTGTTAAGTCGAGTAGTGAGTTTTTCGTCTTGTCCAAAATCTTCTCCTATGGACAGTTCATCGGGATCCAGCATTCGATTAGTTAGGGTTGGAACACCCAGGCATTCAGCAATACTGTTGGGAACAATAGGGTGGACATAAAAACAGTCCACATCTTCATCATCTCCTTCCTTCTTTAGCCATGCACGCTCACAATACACACAGTGTTGAACCTGTTCGAGCCTAACACGGGAGTTGTCATCAACATGTATGGGAAGAAGAATCTTCGCTTGAAGTTCAGCAGGCAACTGCTTATTCGCCACCTCATTCAGGATGTTGACAGTTAACTGGAGGTCACGTTTTACCTCCAAAGAACTGAACTGGACAATGCTGTTGTCGTACGTCTCTTTGATCATGGCAAGGACTTGCACAAGAACAGCTGGATCACTTTGCTCCCTCATACCAAAACGGTAAAACAGATCTGAATGCTTCATCATCTCCGAGGGAAGTGAATGCATGTAGGGTGCAAGATCAATAGATGGCTTACCGGAAAGCACCTGGTTAGGCGATGCAAAGCCATCTCCACTCCAAACCCATTCATTTAGCTCAACCAAGGCAAATGCTCGCTCCACAGCAGAAGACTCTACGTGGGTCAGAAACGAGTAGATATAGTCTACCATCACCATGTAAAACGGTTTTTCTTCTTTGGAGTACCATCTGGTTACCGTTTGCAAATGCTGCACAACATCAACGATATCCGGTTGGTTTTGCCATCCAAAATACTGGGAAACTTCAATTGATGGCCCGACCTCGACAACAGGCATAACTGATCCAATCAGATTAACTAGGTGATAGCTTTTGACTTCATCTGGCTTGAAAAAGTAGTTGTTTTCTTTGTCTCCCTTTTGCCACCATGGACCTGATGGAGGGTAGCCAGGGGGCATCTGCTGTAATCTTGACACCCAATTAATGTCTTTTAGTAGCTGTCCCAGTGGCTGTCCATTGATGGGTTCGTGCAGTTTCTGGGGATTTTCGTCAAGATACTGTAAAATTGCTTTAGATTTCTGCAATGCAGTTGCAAGTAGTGGAAGCAAGGAAACCAGCTTAGCACTTTGGTACAGATCGCTTCCAGTGATATTGTGAACACCTTTCATTCCAAGTTCTTTCAACAGGACGAGTACAGCAGGGTTGGTGTAGAGTTCACCGGCAGGGAATACATCTTCGCTCACAAATATTTTCTTCAGAATATCACTCCTGGGATCAAAGAGGTTTGACGGCATAGCACGCCCTCTGAGTTTGGAGACAAATGATAAGGATTGCAAATTCTGCTTGAAAGTAGCATTTCCATAAATGATATTTGCATGGCGCTCTAGCACATACGCCATCAGCTTGTCAGTCTGCTCTCCTGAATATTTTCCCAATTTCATGTCTGGAAATACCACTTGGCATAGCAGATCAGTGGGTTTAAGGACTCTGACCTCTAAGAAATGTGCCAAAGTCTTGGAATCATTCTGAGAAATGTCAATAAGTTCACGTTGTAGAGAGATTGGAAGATGTTCATCAGGCGCTGCACATAGACCTTCCTCTGTGGAAACGAACTTCTTTGACAACGTCTCAAAGACTGGAAGGGAACGTAAAAGAAGGAACTCCTCAGTCCCCCGAGACAGTTGTCGGACATTGGCAAGAAAAGATCTCAAAAGTTGCTTCCCTTTTGGTGACACTTCACTTCGAACAATTTCAATGAACTTCCCAACAGCCATGTTGGAAGAGGAAACCACCATTGCTTGCAAAACACCTTGTACGGAGGGTGGATTCAGAAACGAGCCCAGCAAAGCGGGATGTTGGCTGATAAAAGTGGGATATTCACTCATGACAATCAATCCAAGCTTCTTTAAGACATCTGTCAATGCGTCATCAAGGCAATCATCATGAAAACATTTGATAACTACTCTGGAGGGATGGCAAAGTCGCGTCAAAGATACAGATGTTTGAGACATACTGAGTGGAATCAAGGGTAGTTTTCCAAGGCTCTGAATGCTTTCTGTCGTAGCAAAGTGTTCCTGCAGATATTTCCACAAGTCCTTTATCCACTCTCTTGGAGGATGCTCACGGTTACTGTCATCAGGATACCACAAAACAGTCTCGCCTGTTTTCCAGTCAGCAGGTAGTCCATACCAAAGAAACGCAGCTGCGACGTCTTCATTAAGGAATCGTAACCGAGTGCATCCTAAAGAAGTAACAAATAAGAAAATAAATATTGATCAAAAACTCTGTGAAACCTATAACTGGTGTTTCTAGTAGCCAAAGCTAAGCCCTTCCGCAATTTGCTGTAACAGAGGACTAAGGTTTGAAACTCCTGCTTGACCAATTCGACATAGTGGTTAACTTACCTTTCTCAAGTTAATAAGCGACTGCTTGTTTCACTTTCCCACCAACAAAGTACAATTATATTTTCTTAGGAAATTATTGCTTTTGTTAAGTTAGTATATATATCTTCAAAAGCCAAATTAAAATTATACAAAACTAATTTGGCTGGCAAAGGTGACATTCAAAAGCTATTACATTGGCCCCAGAGTACTGATAAATATTGCAGCATCAGAACAGTGACAGTGAAACGCATCAACTATTGCTTATAATGCATGTATTTACAAAACGTGATATCCTAAAACTCAACCATCACTACCTCAAGCAGTCATTAATGATTGATGTGAACAGAAACATGTTGAAATCTCATTGGGCTGGGACTCACAGAAAAGGCACCGTAACTTCGTGAAAGGGGTTTCTCAGCGATATTGTAGCACAATAATGCCCTAACAATGAGATGTATTTCGCCCAGAATTGGTGTAATCTAGAGCCAACTAAGGGATAACACTCTGAGTCGTAAGCCAATGACACCCAAGTGATATTTCAAATTCGAGTAAAACCTTACATGGGATTCACAAGTCAGGCAATTAGATTTGCTACAGGACATACCTTGTAAAGCTGCAGCTTCAAGGTTTTGAAGAATGTCTGCGTCAATATGTTTATCCAAAAGTCGATGACCAATGCCAGGGAAGAGTGCTCGTGGATGTTTCGGCGAGTCAATGTAAATCGTATTGGCACGATTTCCAAATTTTGCAAATGTCCCATTGGCAAGTGGAAGAAGCTGCAAGCCATAAAGGTCTGCGAATTGGCGATCACTAAGACAACATCGAAGAAGTAGCAGCTTCTCTTCCCTGTGTAGACTTGAATAGCACGAGGGCACTTGCCTAAGTACAAGTCTAACCATATAAGGAGTGAGTTCTGCTATATCAGGCCCATAGGCCTCAATGGCACTGAGCACGTGACTGGGTACGGTGACAATTGGCACATCAGCTGAAAGCAGGACTCTCATAAGCAGCTCTTTCTGTTCATCTTCTGGCAATCGATGAAAGATCACATCCTTCACTGTTAGCCACTTTCCACTTTGTGCTTGGGTGTGAACAACTTTCTCAGTCATGAGCAGTTGAAATAAAGGTTTCTCAAGCTCCTTCCACTTTTGGTCTATATGGCTTATATCTGGCCATGCTCTGACAATAAAGAGAAAAATACCACTTAAGTCATTGCTTACTGTATGAAACTATAAATGCTGACTGACATATTTAGCTTGAATTGATTTAAGTGTTTTAATACGCATTTTTATAGATTATTACATATATATAGTTATAGTTTTTAGATATTTGTATTTTCATTTTTTGATTATTTGAGGGCCACGAGTTTATTAGCTTTTAGCTGTTTAGTGTTACCCTCGCTAAATAAAGTGTTTACTTACTTACTTAATAATAGGCAAATTTAAACACTTATTTAAGTTACCCAACAGAAACTATTCCAAAAGGCACCACAATTAAAAATATTTGTCGCTGTGCAGTGACGGTTAGTCTAAGAGGTTTTAACCATTTTTGGACATGAGGTGAAGAACAGAGACACTTACTTGTAGATGGCTGCTAGAGGTGCATCAAAGCATCTAGTGTTAATGGCGTCTATAAGCATCTTGGCATACGCTCTGGGTATGGCCTCCCCCAGGAGACAATTGTTCCACATTAAGGCCTTGTCACTCACCGCA